ATCTTTATCTATTTATATTTTGAAAGTACTTTATTTTTCTCAGACTGTATTTAGGGGTGAGAGTATAACATTTCTTTGAGCTCTGTTTGCAGTGACAAATCTTTCATCAAGACACTAGGAGTGACTAAACTGAACCTAGGACTCAGAAATAAACTGACACAGAAAGCAAGGCTATTTTAACATAATCCTGGCAGCAATAACATTTCCCTCAAAAGGTAACTGGAAAAACAAATTAATTTGGAGAAGAAAAGTTCTAAAAATAATGATCTGCGTCGGATCAATTGACGGGTGAATGTCATTGTCATGACCAGCTCTGAAGCCGTGAAATAAACGAGGAGACGCAGTTAAAAACGACAAATTATAAGTCATTTATTATATTTTAACATAACAACACAAATGCAACCAAAAAAAGAACTAAGTAGCAGATGAGGTGTGGTTTGTCAGTAGCGTCAGTAGGGAAAGTGTGTGTATGCATGAGTGATGTATAATGAAAGGTAAATGTTGGATGTTGAAACAGAAGGAAACCAAACACCGGAGATGATAGCAAGATAGCGAGAAAAAGAGAGAGTCACCCAGAGAGGCGGGGCTTATTATAGCCGAAAAATTTATTGAATTTGTATATAAAAATATTCATTTTTTTTGCATACATTGTTAAATAGGCTTACAATATAACTGAGGGTGCAATCTCAACTTAAATATCCAGCCCTGTCACTTGGGGGAAGAAAATCGACTCTGTTTTCTTACTGTTACTTATTTACTGAGCTCATCTGATTTCTGTTCCCACAGTTCACTCTCATTGGGTGTGTTTTCACATTTTTAAGGACGTTCGTTGTAAACCCTTTAAAGTGCGGGGGAGGCGGCCCTTGCGTAATTTGCGGAGCCCTGTACAGGTGCATGGTGGCCATAAAGGGGCATCCTGTTCATCATCAACACTCCCGCCAGACACAACTTGAAAAGATGCATTGCACAATTATTTCCTGGGTGTAGGTGTATGTAAAGCCAATATTGATTTTATTTTTTTATTATATAAGATAAGATATGATAAGATATCTCTCACTCTTGGGAAATTCACTCATACAGTAGCTCCAAATACAACACAATAGACAAGAACATACACATTCAATAAAAATAAAACAGAAAAATACAAGATAGAATAAAACTGGAAAGATAGAATAAGAGATATATGAACACAATATGCAGATTTTTATATACAAATGTGACCGAAGGAATTACAAACTTGCATAAACTACATAACATTTTCTTGAATTTGACTCCTCCTTGGTAATGTCATAACTATGGGATCCTTTTTCATTTCCAAACAAGCAAACAACACAAAAACAAACACTGCTCTGTTTTTCTTAATTAAGCTACAGAGATACTGTTTTCGGCTGTCTTCCCTTGACCACACTTCCCTGGGAGGGCAAAACAAAACGCAACTTTTGTTTCTGCAAAAGTGTTCCATAATTATGACATAATAAGTCGCCAATTCAGAAGAACACTTATTCTTTATGTCTGCTGTTTCTAAACTTGGGCTGTAAAGCTGCAACACGGAGAGATAAGGATGTTGCGCGAAAATAGGACAATAGTTCAAATGAACTACAAAGAAAATGGAAGCTGTTACTCTCAAAAGAGCACCAAATGTGTTTTTACTGCATCTTCGTGGAGAATATGGTTGAGCTGCGTGTGTGGCCAGCTGCATACCAGTTGTCAAGCAGCACGTAGTCGTTTCACAAAATGGGATGACATTAATGTCTGTATTGATGGGAGTTTCGTAACGGTGATGAGTTGTCTTTGGTCCGTCCCATAATCTGGCACAGTCTATATTAAGGCTTGTCCCTCAGTCCCTCAGTTTAAAAACTCTCTGCAGAGTCGCGCATACCAAACCACTGCTGTCTGTATCAGCCACAGAATGACCTCTTCAGCTTCACAGGACTACACTGACGGTAAGTGACTGCACATTAACGCTGGATTGGAAATGATCTAACTATTAACGTTGCTGTTTTAAGCGTCGCTGAGTTTGCACACTGACTGAAAGCTGCATGACGGGAATATGTCCGTCTCTAATCCAGCTATGTGGCATTAACTGCATCAGGAGTTATAAGCAGAGCTTCAGCTAAAGTTAGACTGATGTGGGAAATGAAGGAGAAAGATTACTTAATTATTATTCAGGTTTCTTTGTTTACTGTTAAATGTTCTGCACTTAAGTTGTAAGTTATATGTTATATTTTAGTTATATTTTATATTAGTTTTTTTTATATTTTATATAGGCTACTTAATTAAAATCCATTTCAAATTTACAAAGGCTACAGATCATCAGAAACATGTACTTAAAGTAATCATTGTGCAGACAAACTAAGCCTGTTAATTATGTTATTGAAGTACTCCTTTACTGTACTTAAGTACACAGGTTGTACCTTTTCATTACATTTATGGTTCTATTCTCCAAGGCTACACTTTAACCGGAAAATATTGTACTTTTTTATTTAATGAACAACGTTAAAATTAATTCTTCTAAATTACAGTAAAAACATTTGCAGTCTGGACTGTTAGTTTTCAATGTCAAAGTGTGACTTGTAGATTAAAAGAGTTTCCTTCCTCTCATGTCTCAAGGAAACAGGATGGTCATGATGGATCTAGAAGGCAGATGTGTGATGGTCACTGAGGACCTGACACTGTGTGCTGTTGACCGTCAAGTCAATGGTAATTATTTTCTAATGACCACAACTCTTTCATGTTGTATTATTCCACCCTGACTGTGCCATAAAAATGCACAAAATAAATATGTTTTCTTGCTTTTGTCCTTTCATAGAATCTTGGGTACAGATAAAGGAACGCACATATGGAAAGAACGCTTTACTGGCTTTACTCTTCTTGTATGATGGTCATCAGTATTACGCCAAGGTGGATGGAAACAATGTGGTGGTAGGTAAAAATAAATAAATTATCTATATAGACTAACACACACATAAATACTGGCATTACAGCATTCATACTATAAACTGAAGCCACATGGCATTGCCATCAATGGTTGTATTGATTGGTTTAGTCGCTATGTTGTGTGCATTGACGTTTTGACCCAAAAGTAATAGCAGAGTACTTCATCACATCCGTTATGAACTGACAGGGAGAAACTGCGCGCTGATAGTACAAACACACATAATCCGGCGACATCAGTCAGTGGATCCAGTGTGTCTGTATCATGACAGAGGCATAGAAAGTGAACATGTCAAAACATGCTGGTCTTTTTACGCAGGAATCACAAACATAGTTTTGCAACATTTCAACTTAATTCTCGAAATGCAAAATAAAAAGATGAATCTCATTTCTTAATGAATTAATTAATTTTCACAACATATATTCAACATGTATCTATGTTTCAGTATCAAACTCGTAGACTAGGAAAGTGACTAAAAATATTTTATCAATAGAAGAGATGGAGGCAGGTAGTGTATGAAACAATGTATTCTCACGACCTGACTCTATTGTAGCTGCTGTGAAGTTGACAGCCTGTGTGATGTTAAAATATTTAACATCACACAAAATATTTTTGCAAATGAAAAAAAAGTAATTTTATTGAATTTGCACATTTGCTTGCTTCCTAAAATAGAACCTAAACATTGTGTTTTGTGTGTTCACAGTTGGAGAACGCTGATGGTGGTCCTGTCTCAGATAATGAGAGTATCTGGTTCATGAAGGTACGATCGGGATCTGGTGATCATTATGGCCTGCGATCCATAGTTGGTCAGAGGAAATACCTCTCTTATAGCGAGAACAGGCCACGCAATTTCATCCTCGGTGAAATGAATCGTTTCTTTTCTCTTGAGCAAGCTTGAGCATGAGTGTGTTTGTGTATAGGGTGT